ATGTACAACGGAGATCTCCAGAGGCATCGATGCATAGTGGAATCCTAAGCCAGGATAGTAACGTGAAGAGAGGCAGAGGAAAACTAAAATTGATTTGGGTAGAGGCAATAAAAGAAGACTTGAAAGGATAGAATATATCCAAAGACTTAGCCTTAGATAGGGTGCTTAGAAAACAGCTATTCACGTGCCTGAACCTTGATTATTTCTGCTGGGTTTCAACTCTAGCCTACCCCAACTTGTTTGGGACTTAAAGGCTTTGTTGTTGTTGTTATTGTTGTATCTCTATTTTAGATAACAATAATTAGATGTTCAAATATGAGACATCACACACAAACCAAACATAATCTTACAAAATGCAAATAAATGAATCACAATTCATGTATTCTGGTTCTTTCAGTTAATTTGGTAAACCGAGAGTAGGAATCAAACTTTATTCGGTTACTTCGGTTCTTTGATATCAGAAACCGAACAAGTAACCATTTCTTTTTTGTAAGGTTCTTTCGGTTTTGGTTCTTTTAGTTTGGTTCTTCAATTTTGGTTAATTATGTCCACCCCTAAGCCCTAGCTATTAGAGCATCATATAATTTGAAAGTTCGTCAATATTTCACCCAATGGATCTCGTTCTTTCTTTTAGTTTCCGGTTTATTCCTTTATAGTCATGACTCATGGCATCTAAAACAAGTCCCAACTGCTCACCGTACTAAGGGTCTGTTTAGATAAGCTATGACTAATTATTAACTCTAGCTAAAAATTAATCAGCTAAATTTTTAGCAATTAATTATGAGGAATTAATATATAGATCCCTAGCTAAAAAGACTTCTTTGTCAGCTACGTATCTGAGGTTAATGACCTCACTTCTTTGTCTCCCTCACACCTAGATTATTTTTCTCCCTTTTAAGTCCTCTATCCTACGTATATGAGGTAAAAGTTACTTTTCTCAGCTACTAGACCTCGTTAGCTAGTGGCCCTCGTTCGCCCATTGTTCAACTAATAGGCTAACGACTAGTTAAGCTTTTGGATAAAAATTAGTTCACCTATTAGTTGATATGTCTAATAGACTAACGACTAGTTAAGCTTTTAGATCGTCTATGACTATTTTTTATCTACTAGTTATTAACCAAGGAATCTAAACAAATCTTAACCTATGGGAGAGAAATTCCCTGCCCAAACCTTTTGCACTTGTCATCATCCACTGATATGTCTCTTCGTCCCACTTACCGACCACTTACCTCCGGTTAAACCTTTCTCCCTTGTCCTGTCCAGACCAATCTCAAGTCTAACTCTAAAATTCCTAATTTCGTAGCCCAATGTACTGGAAATGGAAAAGAGGTTGAATCTTCTCTAGAACAAGAACCGAGTGAAAGAGTTTATAACTCGCTTGTTTTCAAACTAAATAATGTACCACCCTCTGGCCCAAATTATGACATTTTGATTTTTCTAGGTATATATCTTTTACTATACATCTAAATATATGATATGTCTAGATATATAATAAAAATTATGTATTTAGAAAAGATAAAATGACCTATAAATTAGAACGTATGGAATAATAGATATTGATGTTAGTAATTTCTAAGGTTCACCAAAATTTTATCCTACACAAATGTCTTTGTGACCTAACGTAGCATTACTCGCTAAAAGGCTTCATGCGTGGCATTAAAAAAATTGTCATACAAATAGTTTGTTTGGAGTGAGCAGCGAGCTCGGGTACATCTAATCCATGGTTTGTATGGTAATATAATACCACGGTTTGCCTTAATTGTCCATTCCTTTCTATGCAGTTAGGGCACCATCAACGCAAGCTAACAGGGTTGTTAGCCTCAACCAAAGTTAAGGCTCTAATCGCCTCAGCCTCGGTTGGCTGATTTATATCGTTGCTGATTCGTAAAGTAGTACTGCTAATTGATTTGTATGAGAGAAAAATATTATTCTAACTAAAAATTTATGATCATATATGCAAGTCATAACTAAACGACCACAGGCTGCATGTAGACGAGGATGCATTTGAGACAGCTGCTCGTCTCGCAATGCGGGCAGATAGTCCGTACCACCGAGAGCACAGCCAGGCGTACAGGAGCAACTTTCCTCTTCCCAGGCCTTGTTGAGATTGTAAGTTTTTTCACTCTCTTTATCCACATTAAATTTTTAGACACATGTATAAAGTATTAAATGTAGATAAAAAATAATTAATTACACAGTTTGAATATAAATTACGAGACAAATCTTTTGAGCCTAGATATGCTATGATTAGATAATAATTATTAAATACAAACAAAAGTACTACAATGTCAAATATTGATTTCTAACCCAATTGGCCCCAGCTTCTCACAATGCCAGCCGCCTGGACTTTTTGTCCGACGAGGCATGCGCTGCTTCTGCAAGCAGTTCTGACTAACTGTGAAACCACCATATTGACGTGACATGGACCCTTTGTGATGATCGGCCACATTCATGGCTTGCTACTAAATTTAATTGAAAAAAAAAATTTCTTAGTTAGAAATTAAATTGTCTTTTAAGCCTAAATAGAAAATAATCATTTTTTTGCTAAATAAAAACAAGTTGAATAGTAGCCAAAATCCATAAATTTTCAATGAGACCGATATGGAACTGGGGCATATTGACGTGACGATGGACCGTTTGTGATGATCGCCCAAGTTGTCAATTCCTTTCTATGCACTTACAACAACGTTTAGTTAAATTGTTGTGTGAAAAACGGCATTTCCGTTTTGTCAATTCCTTTCTATGCACGGACCTATATGGAACTGGGGCAGTTGTTGGTTTCGATTCACGGGAATCCGTTTTGTCAATTCCTTTCTATGCACTTACAGCCTGTTTAGTTGTTGGTTTCAGTTACGGCTTATCCGTCAGTCAACAGTATTTTTTCACATAAACCAATATCAGTCAGACTTATCAGTCCAGAAACCAACCAACGAACATGGGCTGAGAGCTAACCAAAAGATAGCATGCTTGCGTAGTGGTTAGTATTTTTGTTTTTCTGCTGTAGTTGTTGGGCAAAGTGGGAACAACCTGCGGTGTTTTTTTTGGGTTTCCACTCAAAAAGCTAGCTGCTACATGTCTTTATATTTTCATTTTTTGGTAAAACTTTTGTCGCTCTTTAAAAAAAAATATCACGTCAGGGAATCACATGTAACAACATTAATTAATTTGGGCAATCTAAGTCATTTGTTCACACCAATACTCTGTTTGAAAATGAAAGAGCAGCTACGAGCGTCTTTTCACAAGTAATATGAAAGATTTTAGTAGGACGCAACCCAGCGTAGCAATAGGAACCTCAAACTGAACTGCCTCTGAGTCATCGCTCTATCTGACGGAAGAGAATGTCTTTTCTTTGAAAGATCAGAATAAGGGTCATGCATGATTTCTGTACCAAATTCACAGTAAGCGGTGAAGATTTTTTTTTTCTTTTGATCAGTTCAAGAACTAAACCATGCAGCTTATCTTCATCGTGCCACAACAGTGCGTGCCGGACTGGTACCGTGTTCCAGATTTCCAACGTGCATCAGAAACCACATATGTCGCAGTGTCCCGCTGAATCTCGCTCTCTTTTAGTGTTTTCTCTCTCTTCAATCCATGACCTCAAACTTCACGCCTGTCATTTCGTCAGCGAAACGAACTTGCATAAACACTCACCAGTTTTCTTGCATAACACTGCTTTGCAAATCTCCTTTCTGACGTCCATGCCACACTCAATCTGGAACTGAACTGACAGATTGTAAGTTCAATCCATTCTGCCCACATGCCTGTCATTTCGAGAGCGAAAGGAGTTCTGGTCAACACTCATTCAGTTTTATCAGCCATAAGATTGCTTTTTTACAAATCTCCTTTCTGACGTTTAGTGCCAAACTTTGTCAATCTGGAACTGAACTGACAGATTGTATTGCGCGTGATTTACTGCCCACATGTTCTTATTTTTTTACGACAGCGAATGCAGGAGTTCTGGTCAGTGAAAAACTCATTCAGAAAAACAAGGCCCAGAATGGGATTGCCAACTCGGTTCAGACACCATCATCGATGTTCAGAAATCACCTGGTCCTGGTGTCATGATCTCTTCTGATGCATGGGCGGCGCTGCAGAAACGTCACCGGCTGCAAAGCACAAACCAAACCCGTTTCCGGCTGTCATCCCGCCACCCGGGCAATCGGGCATCCACTGATCCATTCGCCTGCTCCTGTCCACAGAGAACCATCAGCTGCATCGCTGAAAGCCTGAAAGCATATTCGACGTTGCTTTCGCTGCACAGACCTCTCATGGGAAACTACCACTGCGTGGCGGCATGGTGCAGTGCCGGCCACAGAAAAGCCAGAAAATATCCTGCTTCTCACAACGAAGTAGAGAGAGATCTTTGTTGGGCACAGGTCAGTTAGGCATCACAATCCGCAGCATTCGGTTTGAGCAAAACCACAGGCTAGGCTGATGAAGGAAACATAAGACTGTTTACTGTTTGCAAAAAACACAAGTTTCTCATCAGTTCAGTACCAGAATACCAGGATGCAAGCAGGAATTATCGAAACAACGCGCATATGAGTGCATCAATCATGAATACATCAACCACATCAGGTCCTGATTCAATATCTGATGAAAGCGAGACAGGAACATTAAAACGGTTAAGGCAATCATTACAAATAATTTTCGAAATCGACAACATGATTCCAAACCTCAAAATCATAGGTAGCCATCAACATTATTACGAACCTGGTCATCTGAATATACACAGAATCTTAACTAGCCAGCTTTCAGATAGTCAAGGAAGATCACCAATAGTGATGTACTTGTGTAACAGAGGTACAGAGGGGAATTAACAGAGGTAGGAGGGTAACTTTTGCCTAAATCACCAACTTTTATGGGGAAAAAGGAATTCTCAACTTATAAGCGAGCAGCAAATATGGCTCTTACTGATCCATGGCACCACCTGTTACATTCCAGTATCTCATGGCATGAGCATGACACTGGGAGATCTAAAAGCTAACTGTTTTCCTGTTCTAGGATAGCACAAGATCGTTGTCACCAAGATGTGGGGGCCTCATGCACACCTGAACTTCATGCTCCTCTGGTCCAACCCGGTGCTTTGGGACCATGATTTCCAGTCTAGTTCCTGTCTCATCATAATACGCCTCAATCTTTGCGTCTTCTGGAATCCGTGTGGCCAGAGGTATCTCTCTCACAAACTCACCAGGAGGGCAGTGCTCAGGGAAAGGGTCCGTCAGCTTGAACGTCCTGTCATGTCTCTTGATGTAGGGCATCCGGGCAGTGCTCACGCATGTTATCTTCACAATGCCATGCGTCAGCGTGTTCCTCCAGGACACCTTGACGCTGTGTGGATCGGAGAAAAGCATGCTCACCACGATTAAGTACCCTTCCTCATCCTCGTATATCGTCTTGGCAGCAGTGACAGGCCCGCTTGCATGCTTGGCCACACCAGTGAACTCGTGCATCCATGATGGCTCGCCAGTGTGAGCTTCTACCTCTTGCTCTCTGTCAGAACAAGAATTGTTTGCCATCACACAGTCCTCCTCTACGCCATGGCCAAAGAAATCCTTGCGGCGTTTGGCACATTTTGGTGAAAGGTCCATCCCATCGTCTGATGATGGTGGAGTTGAAAGGTTGAGACCTGAACCATTCAATCCCTTCTTATGGCTATGAGATCCATGTGTGGCACTCTTTGCTGCCGGTGGATGTGGCCTGTCAAGTTCAAAATCAGTGCTGGGAAGATTCCTCCATGACTCAAAGTCGCTGGCTTCAGATGGTATTGAGAAATTAAGTTCCCTGCCTGTCAGTTCAGCCCACCTCTTCAAGTCTGCCTCAGGAACTGCTGACAAATTTGGTGAGCCCACGACCTCAATCCCATGAAGGCACTGCGGGTTCGACAGCCCACGGTAGTGCTTTCGCTGCATACGGTGTGACCTGGCAAAGCCCTTATCGGCACTGAACGGGAAAGATGGCTCCCCATGCTTGGAGTGCCCATTCATGAAGCTCCGGAGCTGCATCTTCCCAAGGGCATTGTCAGGTCGCTCCTTGAAAACCCACATGTACATGTTCTCCATGTCATGCTGCACCAGGAAGACATCAAGGCGGAGATCAGATTTGTCGAAGCCCGAGATGCTCCCAGAAGCGTCTCGCGTCACCTTCCCCTTTGGCTTCTCCACAAGTGCAGGCTTGAAGTAGTGATTAAAGAAGAACCATGCACCCCAGATGCTGTCTCCTCTCTTAGCACACTTCCTCGCGCCAACACCGATAGTGGCACTGCCATTGCCGTTGCCGTTGCCGTTGCCGTTGCCAGTCGACTTTGGAAGTGTAAGCGCGACCTCGGACTCATAGTTGTGTGTTCCAAGAGTGACATCGAGTATGTCGAACGTGTCGAGGCTCCATGACGGAGGCGTCGGTGAGGGATCTGCAGAGAGCGGGAGGTTGATGTCCGGCGGACCTGGGTGCGCTGGCTCACGCCGTGGAATGATGAAGAGTTCCCGGTCACCACCACTACCAACCCCAACCCCATTGGTGGCAGCGCCACCGCCACCTGAGGACTCGGCGGAGGCCGGGTGCGAACCGGCAGGGTCCATGGAGAGGAGCGTGCAGGGGTGGCTGTTGCTGTTCTCCATGGAGAGGGAGGTGAGGAGGGGCTCCCCCATGGAGAGCTCCCTCCTCTCCTTCTCCTTCGTCCTTCCTATTTTTGCCTTCTTCTCTTCTATACCGACTGCCTCTCCTCACCCTCGTCTTCCTGCTCTGTCACCACCTGCTGCCTGCTGCCCCTTCTCGCCTGGTGCGCCAATCAGCGTTCAGCACATCCATGGGAGGCACACGGGTTCCTCACAGGCTCGCCTCATAAAAGAGGCAACTTTCCACCACAAACAGATAGATCCGGATTGGCGATGAGAAATCCTTCCGTCGGAATAAAACTGAGATCTTTCTGCCCAATCCAACGGCAGCAGCCCTGAAAACGGATGGAATTCAAAGTTATTTAAACGCTCGTCAAATTCACACTGGTAACTAGTAGTATTACACAGGAACCAAAATCTAAACCGCGGGGACCAAATGAAAAAATCACTCTTTTTTATCAGTATAACAACTAGGGATTTCTCCCACAACAATTCGATCTTCTCTTTACCAAATTGCAACTTAGGAAGAAGATTTCCTCAGACCAAAGCAGATAAGACCTCGAGAACTCCATAACCCGCCCAGAAATTGTCACAGGAGTGCTAAGGAAGATGTAATAGATGGGGAAAAGCAAAAACGCGAGGAGGGGGTTGGGGGTAGAGGAAGAGGAACAGAAGGCCATCCTCTGATCTAACCTTGGGGAAGGGAAGAAGAGCCCACCGCAGGTCCCCTTGTTTCCCGGGGAGAAAATCTCTCCTGCGGGTGCTGTGGCGCCTCCACCCGAGCTCTCGCCGGCGACGGGGGAGAAGAGGGAGAGCGGAAGGGAAGGGAAGGAGAAAGGAGGAGACGGGAGGGGAGGGGAGCGGGCCAACAGGGGTGTGGCCCGTCAACGGGTTCGGGTCCGCTAGTCCATTGCGGGTCGGGTCGCAACCTGCAACCGCGTTCGTCGTATCCCCCCCCTTCCCTCGCTTCTCCTCCAAGGAAAGGGAAGGCGCAGGTGTCCTTGGCTGGATCCTCGCTAATTTTTTCTTCACAATAAAAAAATGAATGGGTAGATGCAGCTGGGCGTGAACTAAAACCGTGATCTCTTCTTTAGCCACATGACGTAGTAGACGTACCATCGTTATCTTAAAAAGATGACGTGACTGTTTGTTTTAAAGTGGTTTTATCTTTCTTTGTTTTCGTTACACCTACAACTATTATATTACAACTAAAGTTTAGCGGAGAGTCGCCCGCCCACGTCCAGATGTGCTCGTACTAATAGGTGGGAGACTATGCCGCACTCCGAAAGAAGACCGTGCTGCCTGTTTTTACGGCCCATTGCATGGACCCCACACTACTTCTCACCCGACCATCATGCTCGCTCTGTTTCGCGCGCATGCGGGAATTGTGCCCCACTGCTCACGCTGCTTCCCGCGATGACCATCGCGCCCGCACAAGGGAAACCACGTGGGTTCCAGTCACCTGTCCCACCTGTGGATGCGCGTCGCGAATGAGTTTGTCGGCCTTAGGTACCCGCACAGTGACCCACGGTGGTGCCCCAACAACTATAGTAGGCGGTTACAATAGGTGGGTCCCATTAAAATATGTGCAATACCAAATCTACTTTTGCAACATCCATATAAAAATATTTGTAACATACGTCTGAAACACTTGCAAACAAATGAAACACGTGTTTAGCCATTGCAAACATATGCAACATCCAGATGAAATACTTGCAACATACGTATTAAACACCTGAAACACTTGAAACATACGCTTATAATATATATGTATATGCATGTATATACAACATCTAGATCTATTTTTGCAACATCTAGATGAAACACTTGAAACATACACTTGCAACATGAAACGACATACACTTGCAACATGCGTATATAGCCATTGCAACATATGCAACATCCAACTAAAACACTTAAAACGAACGTCTGAAACACCTGAAACACGACATCACCGGTGGCCACGACCCGTTGTGGCAGGAAGCTCGAGTCGGTGGTGGCGCGACTCCCTGTCATGGTGTCTCCGATCGCCGGCGACCTTCTCCTGGTGGTGCCGGGGTGGTGGTGACGCGGTGAACACCGGCCGTATGTGAGCAAGGCGAGTGGGGGGCGCGTGATGCGGGGATTGGATTAGCGCGAGGGATGATGGCTTGACAATGAGGTGGAGTGGGGTGGCGCTGCGTAGGATGGGCGTGGTGGGGGATGGCCGCGGCGGCGAGGCAGAGTGGGGCAGGCGGGCGGCCGCACGGTCGCGGCGAAGCCTCGACGGGCAAGGCGGAGTGGGGAGATATTTTTTGAGAAAGAGAGAAGGGAAAGACGTAGAGGTGAGCAGGCAGGCCTGTTTGACCGGTAGCGCGGGCGCAGGCCCGGGAAGGCAGCATGTCCAAACGGATGGACGCCCGCGTCTAAGCATTAGCGAAAGTTTAGGTGATTAATGTTTGGTCCAGTGTTATTTGAATACAGGATTAAAAGTGTAGAGTACAGTGGATAAAGACATCTTTTAGTCCATATTAGTCCACATTTATCAACTAATATACTAAAAAAGTAGTTCATTTTTAGTCCGTCTGTTTGATACCTAGGTCTAAAGTTTAGGTAACTAAAGCTTAGTCTATGGTATCCAAACAAGCCCTTACATAGGTCTTGTATTTTAGTCGCCGAAATGGTTTTAGACTTTCAATCGATGGTAAAAAAATCATATCAACAATATAGAGGTTTGGGAAGATAATTGGCTAAATATATTTTATTGCCACATATTGCAGGGAGGGTTAGGGCATAGTGCGGCTTTCCAGTGTTGGACGCTCGAGTAGGGTGGCATCGATGGCATGTGGAAGGGTAGGAGATGCATAATAGTAAGAGTAGTATGGACGAGTCTAAGTTAGGGTGGTGAGAGCTAGCGAGAATGCCACTCGGGATAGAAGCATAATCACACCGTAGTAGGAGTTGAGATGATGATACTAGACAAAGAAGTCGATAGATATGAATAAAGGTAGAAGAAATATCAATAGTAATGAACTGATTTGGACGTTCGAATTGTGATCTCACTAACCATGGGTGACAACGATTCTGGGCACTTGCAAACTTAGCACCTTCCATTATCTAAAGTTGCATCATTCTATTATTCATATTTTGTAAAATAAAATTTGACCTTAGCTTTGTTGAGATATTTATTACAGAAAAAAAATAAAAAAAGTTTCTTTATCTGCTTTACTTGGAAAGAGTGAACGAAAAAAGAGTCAAGATGTATACTGCCATTCTTGGTAGAAAGGAGAGAAAATGGAGCAGAATGAGTACGCGTATGTAGAGTATGACCTAAATTGCGGAAATAATACGCCACGGGAGTCCATCCTGTCCGGACGGACCGCTCTGCACGCTTCGCCCGTGTCGCCCGCGTCATTGGGTCCGTGCACCCCACGCCTCACCTGCCCGCGCGCGTTGCTTGCTGTCGTCCGCGCCCTCATCCACCTCGCCCATCTCGGAAGGGGGAGGCAGGGGAGGGATGCGCCTGCACCTATGGCCATTCCACCTCGCACCGTCGGTAGGAAGGGAAGGAATACACCACCGCAGTTCCTCACCAGGTAGGCCGTGACCTCCAGCGACGCCGTGTTTCATGTGTTTCAGTCGTTTTCAGACATGTTGCAAGCCTATGTTTTCAAGTGTTTCAGTTGTTTCATACGTATGTTTTTCAAGTGTTTCATCTGGATGTTGCATATGTTGCTATAGCTATACACGCATCTTTCAAGCGTATATTTCAAATGTTTCATTTTTAGACTTATGTTGCAAGTGTTTTCATCTGGATGTTGTAAAAGTAGATCTGGATATTGCATATGTTTCTATGGCTATACACACAAGTTTTAAGAGCATGTTTCAAGTGTTTCATCTATTTTCAGACGTATGTTACAGGTGTTTTATCTGGATGTGGCAAATGACTATGTTGCAAATGTATGTTCTGAATGTTTTGTATGTTTCAAGCATATGTTGCAATAATTGTTTCATCTGAGTATTGCAAAAGTAGATCTGGATGTAGGTGTGGAGGAAGCCTACGCCCTTGTGAAGGGTCGAGATGGCGGACTAGAGGGGGGGTGAATAGTCTTTCCTAAATATAATCGCGTCGGCTAACCGATATAAATGCGGAATTAAAACAATCGGTCTAGCCAAGACTACACCCCTCTATATATGTTCACTAGCACCTTGCAAAGATACTAATAAAGCAACTAAGGTGCAGGCTAGCTAGAGCTCTCCTAAACAATTCTAGGAGCAAGGTCACACAAACCTATGCCACTAGTACTTTAAGTAACAAGGAGCTCCTACACATGCTAGTAAGCAAAAGCACAAAGCTAACTAAGCTCACTAGCAATGCTCAATAACAAGGCAAGTCAAGAACCCCAGATTATAAAGCGGAAGACTTAACTTTTGAAAGCTGCTTGTTTCAAACTCAAGTCAACAACCATTGGGCCGGACACATGGCATTGTCTTTATTTCGACCGAACAGTGCCTTGTCCAGGCCATTCATCAACCTCATCAACACGACTTCAAAGGCGTCATGCGTGTCGGCCCGACTGCTGCCCGACTGAAAGGGTAACAAACTAGTTTAGCCTTTGGGGCTATAAATAAAAGTGGCCTCGGCCATGGTGCAGTCTTGAGCACCTCAAGGGACTTAGTGTCCATGCTTGTGAGTGCTTGGGAGCCCTCCATCACATACATACTTGATAGCGATCATCCGATTGTGTGAGTGAGCGATTCTAGTGCTCATTACATCGTGAGGTTGCATCGAGTGGCACTAGGTGATCGAGTTGGCGAGCCGATGGTGCTTGTTACTCTTGGAGGTTGCCACCTCCTAGACGGCTGATGGTGGTGGTCTCCGTCCGAAGCCCGCATAAGAAGCTTGTCTTGCTCGGAGAAGTGCTGTGCTGAGGGGTTGTGTGCTTGTGCTCGCCCAGAGTCGCCAAGAGCAACTTTAGTAAAGCGTGTCATTGAGCTACCCTCACTCAAGGGGTGGTTTCTTCTTAGTGCCCGGACGTGCGGGCTTAGCGGGT